TATTTGAGTATTTCTTAATCGCTATAAATATAGTGTGGATGTTTGTTCAGTTCCTGAACAACCAAAAAATATTTGACTATGGATGTATGGATATCAAAAATCCTGAATGGTTTTGTGGGAATATCAATCGACGGTGCTATAATGGTACTGATGAACGGCAAGTAAATGAATGAATGTTTAGAAACGAGCAATATTTATGAAATTTTTGGTGGAGCCTGTCATCAAGTAGGTGCTTAATGGCTATCTGCAAGAGGTTTATAGGAAAAGAACACACGGCAGGTGACAGGAATCAGTAAAATCGCATATCAATTGAAGAAAGTAATATAAACATGAATAAACAATCGACAATATTAAATAAAAACATGAATTTTATTCAAAAATCGAACACTTTTTTAAATTTTGACTAAACTATATGTAATTTCTTAATATTCAATAAGCTGGTGATGTTTCAATGACAAGATGTCATCTCATATTTTGACAGTATTTTATTTTCAACAATTCATAGCTATTGATTGCTAAAATTTTTTGATTGGAACTTGAAGCTCATTCGCTGTATTTTGACGGACCGTTACCCTATAAGTGGAAAATAACGGACTGTTCATTTGACAGTCCTACTGAAATTCACCGTTAGACATCCTGATGGAAAAACTTCTTGAAATGGGCTTACAACTTCCAATAAACATGTCCTCCGCATTGATTTCAGAAAGAAACCCGATTCATTTCCTGCTAGTTGAATTTCTTGAAAATGTAAACATGGAAATTTAGAACACACATTTCTATACATATAGTACTTTGTGGCAAATGAACTAACGTCTGGATGCCAGTAGCCCCCTCAGAAAAAAAATTATATCTGAGACAGGAGACAACATACTTTTGGCTACTTTATTTCATGTACATCATACATTGTTCGATCAATAACTAGGAGACTTCATTCAGGATTTGTTCAAATTTTAACACAACCATGTCGGTCTGACAAGGATTAAACGGCAGTGTAGTTTTTGAAAGCCCCTCCAGTGGCGGCGGTACTATATGTGAAAAGACTAAAATGAAAAACCTTATTTCAGAAAATCTTGACGATTTTTGAATAAATGTTTAGATTAGTTGAAAATGGGGGCTTTGGGTTCTGGATGATGAGATGAGTAGGGTATTGGGACTGCCAATCTTGCAATATCGGGACGAATAGAAGATATATTATTTATAAGCCTCTGATCGCGATAATTCTCCATACCTGATAACACAGTGTTTTCCATACAATTTAGAAAAGAATATCAATTTGAGATTCAATCTTACTATACATCGTACATAAATGAAGACACCTAGGAATGTTTTGATTCTATTTGGAATTGGACTTGATAATTTAGAGGGGTTATTCATACAACATTCAATTGGTAATATCGCGAAATCGAGATATCTCTCTTACCCTGTCTATGAACACTAGTTTATTTTCTTTTAATCCTTGCTGTCGGTGCACCAATAATTTTAGCAAGTTATGGGTATTATTTAAATGTGAACCTCCTTCTTGTTCGTTGGGGAAGACTGTAACATTTGATTTTTGTCTTTTGTATGGCCATGTTATGAAAGAGGGTTTTTGAAAAAAGGGGCTGATTTTGTCAAATTACCAAAGAACTGTTGATCGATACAAACCGATGGCGATGGCACGTTTTTAAAGATAGGGCACCTGGAAGACACTGAGGAATATATAATAATAATAATAATAATAATAATAATAATAATAATAATAATAATAATAATAATAATAAAATGTCTTTATTAGGCACATTATATAAACTACAACATGATGTGACCTCTACGTAGGCGAAGTCTAGCTCTTGGCTACTCTACTTAACCTACCCAAATAATAAATTGAAATACTTAATCAAAGGAAACTTTGACAAGCAGCAAAAGACGCTTCAAAACAATGAGCTTGATAGCTTCCTGACATACATAATATATACACACATATGTTACGTAAAAATAAAATAAAATATAAGAATTAAAAACTAACTTTTCCACAATTACTACAATGACAAATAAATCTGTTTCACATGCTTACGAAATCTGTTTACTGGCCAATCCTTTATATTGTCATCTAATTCGTTATAAATCAGGATAGCATTGTAAGTGTATGAACTACGAAATAAAGCTGTTTTATACATAGGGATCGCTAGTCTTTTTTTGTGTCTGAAATCAATGTCTGAATTATTTCGTCTGAAAACAAATTTCTCATAAAGATACAAGAGGGATTGAGAAGATATGATCTTATGTGTAAACACTGCTATATGGTACTTGCAAGCATTTTCTATACACATCCAACCAAGCTGAAATCTCTTTAAGGATACATGATCATACTTCTTGAGATTAAATACAAATCGACAACCAGTATTTTGGAGTTTTTGGAGTCTTGCTTGTGTGATAGAATCAAGACAATGATAGAACACAGTGCTACAGTAAAATAAGCTTGGAAATATAATAGCCTCACATAACTTTTTTCTAACTTTAAAATTCAAAATAGAGCGATTGACATGAAAACACTTCAAAGTTGCATAACATTTTTTTAAGATAGACGAAACATGCTCCTTAAACCGTAAAGTATAATCAATAATCAACCCTAAATTTTTTGTAGTATTTGCGACAGCTAGACGCTCCTTGTCGATTTTTACATCAAGAGAATTCAATATAGTGTTACGTTTGACAGCAGGACAAAAAAGCATCACTGAGCACTTATCCTTATTGTTACCATTTGAGTATCCTACTATTGCCTCCAAATCATCATTAAGCTCATTGATTGAAGTATGTAAAGTATTACTATTAAAGCTCTTATATATCTGTGTATCATCGGCATAGCACATCACAGTAGAGTTTTTTACAGAGCTACCCAAGTCTATAGTATAAATTAAGTACAACAAGGGCCCTAAAACTGAACCCTGAGGGACACCTGATGTTATATCAATCGGACTAGATATACAGGGTGACTTTGAAGTTGAGTCATTAATTTTCAGATAATGATTGTAGAAGGAAGATAAACCAAAATATGTGTGTAAAAGTAAAAAAATAAATAAAAAAAATGTTACCTTGTTTAATAAAGTATCGTCCCGACAAGTATTTCAGTGCGGACCTGTATTTGATCGTGCGGTATCGGAGCAGCATGCCCTGACCTGTGAGGTCTTAAGTCACCTGATTCACGAGCACTTTGTACTACATTAACAAAGGCACGAGGGGTTGGTTGCACTCGATTGGGAAACCGATTCGCATAAATCCGTGATGCATCCGGGAGCATTTTGTAAAGACTGCCCTCCCGTTAATAAGAATCATGTCCACAAGTTCAGCATTTTCGTAAACATGTGCCATTTTTGATTTCGTTTGAGCCACGCAACAAACACTTACTATTTATTCACTAACGCGTTATCGACTGACGAAAAACATCGTGATAAACGTTTCAAATTCTTTCGCTTTTTTGTTTCCGATGCGATGAACCGGTCAGGCGGATTATATCCGTTGTCGCCAAACACGAACATATTATTATTGAGACAGGGCAGTACTCAAACTTCCAAAGGGCTATAACTTTGTTACTTTAATTTTACCAGAAAAATGGTAAAGGAAAAAAACATTTCTTTTGATCAGATCTACTCACTGTTAAAATAAATGACTCAACTTCGAAGTCACCCTGTAGTGTTGTCTATCTCTACTACTTGTTTACGATTTGAAAGATATGTTATAAAAAACATTAGAGGTATGTCTGAAAAACCAAAAAACTTCAATTTAGCACATAAAAGCTCATGATCTATTTTATCAACTAGATCCTTGCAATTGCCCGAAGGTGTGAAAATGGAAGAAAAATAATTGTTTACTTCATCGAAATTTTTCAAATGCGTAGGTAAAGATCTATCTACATTAGTTTTGAGTTTCAATGAATGTACAGCTTTCCAGAGATGCTTGTTACTATTTAGTTGTTCATTGATGCTTAGATATGCTGCTTTCTCCCGCCTAATAGCGGAAATGACATCATTTCTTAATTTCTGGTAATATTCGAGACTAGCTGGACTTTTTAAAATCTGATACTTTCTGAAGGCTTTATCTCTCTCAGAGATCAAAAATTTTATGCCACCTGTGAGCCATGGAGCATAAGGTTTAGTAATACGTGCTGAAACAACAGGAACATGGAAATCAAACAAATCCAAAATATGATTAGAAAAAACGTAGCTTTATCCTCTAAGTTACTGATGTAATATATATCATCCCATGGGATTTTATACAAATCCACCAAAAACTGATCTTTAGAACAATGTTTAAAGTCTCTATATTTGACAGTCTTTTGAAAATTCTTAGGTCGTGTGATGTTGAAGTCACATCTGACTACATTATGATCTGACAAATTCGGAACAGGTGCAGAGCTAGTTGAAATTAATGATTCAGCTAAGTTATTTGTTGTACAAATGACATCTATGGAGGTTGCCGTGGTTAAAGTTATCCTAGTTGGTTGGGTGATGTGAGATACCATATCGTAGCACGTAATGCAATCTAGAAAACAATGGTCAGGAAGTTGATCAACGTTTATATCACCCAGCAAGCATATATTATCATACTGAGGAGACACAAATGAGAGAAAGTCGTCTATATGATCAATAAAACTTGATAATCTGCTCGAAGGAGCTCTGTAGATAACACAAACCAAAATTTTCAGATTATTCAACACTATTTCAGCACAAACCTGCTCCATACCATATGGACATAAAAAATCTTGCAATACCAACTTACCTCTCAGTGAATCCCTTAAATAAACACCAACTCCTCCTCCACGTCCTACTCGATCAGTATGGAAAAAAGTGCACTCAGGAATATTTACTATATCTGCTGTAAAATCATTATTAATCCATGTTTCGGAGATACCCATAATATCATAGTTCTCAGTAGTCAACAAATCCACAAAGGAATCAAAGCCAGCAAACAGAGATCTTACATTCAGGTGTCCAACAACAAAATGGTTATAAGTTTTTGTGCAATTATTCATAAGCAATCTGCATTTTCAAATTATCGATCTTCATTTTGTAATAACTGCAAGAGGTATCACTTGCAGCATGCTTTGAACACCAGTTAGTTTTATATCTATCATTATGAAACTTACAGTTAGGACAACAACAATCATCAGTTTTACAATCTCTAAATTCATGAAAACCTGAGCACTTAGAACAGACAACATTCTTGCTTCGGCAATCTTTCTTACCATGACCAAATTTACAACATTTGTAACAACGTAGCAAATATAAATTTTCCCTCACAGTACACCTCACCCAGCCAATAAAAACAAACCCTTTACTACTAAGTAAATTGAACACAGAAGGAATCACCTCGATAACAACATCTTTTGTATTTTTAACCTTATAGTAACTAATTATTTTTATACCATCTGAATTAACACCTAAATTGTTATTGAATATTAAGTCGTCAACAAAACTATCAACAAATTCAAGTTTATCTGGACCAGGATTTTTGAAACAGTCGTTAGGTACACCCTGTATCAACATTCTAGGAAACATTTTGGTAGGCTCACAAACATCGAACTTACTTCCTAAATCAGATTTTAGAGAATCTTTTAGAGTCTCCACATCTTTTTTACTATTACAGCTGATCATCAGACCATTTTTGGTGAGTTTAGTCTTGTTGATATTGACATTAAGAGCACCAGGCGAATAACGAAATTTAAAATCATTTTCGACAGTTTTGTACGAAGTAGAACGATCTGCAGGCTTAATCAACAAATATGAATGGTCCACTTTTTTCACGATAGCACTGTACGAAACACAATCTTTGTTTTTGCTGCTGTTGCCCACTGGCTGACTTCGAAATTTATCTTCAAGGTCACTTATGAGTTTTTTCTGAATTTCCACAATATAACCTCTCTCGTTTGCGATTCTATCGATCAAATTTTTTTCTCTTACCAGGCACTCAATTTCTTTTTCCAATACAGCTAAATCACTTTCGGGCATACTAGCACTGCTCCTTGACGCCCGTGAACCAGACACCAATCTAACTTCAGACTTTTCAGGTTTTCGATTAAATACTGCTTCCCCAAAATCTGCCATTTTCAGCTTGCCATTTATCATTGGAAGACAATCGCTGCAGAACCATTTGATTACCGCACAATCACGCTTAACTTTAGCTAATTTGTCGTCGACCTCAGCACAATGATGATGAAACTTTTTGCGAAAATCGCAAGAAATATTCTGAGCATCGAGCACACGCCTGTATGGCGGACGCCTTCTTTTTCCGATCCTTCTAAGTTCAAACGATACAATAAGACGAAGATGCAGTGCAGTCATTAATAATTTTAAGCATCACTTTAGCAGGCGGATTGATAATCATAGTTTGTACTGGGAACTTTAAAGACAAAAGAAGAGACTAATACCTTCAAAACCTTTGGGTGTATCAAAGCGATTTTAAAATAAAATAAAATCTAACAACACCGCAATGCCAGACGCAAATTACGACGGAATGCAGTGTAAATAAAGATGGAGTTTGTTATTTTTGGCTGTCAGGTATTATTTCATTATTTGATAATGTACTTGTAAAATGCAAACAATTAAAAAAACGGACTTACCACTAACTGTCTCAGCGCTTCAACTGGTGTGTAAAAGTTTATTGAACGTATTAAAGAAATCCACTTATAAATAGGGAACACAATTTTTATACATACATTGTTTTTCATTTTAAAATCCACACTGTACTTTTTTGTATTCAAAGAAGGTGTTCATAATGTCGTCCTCTACTTTCCACACAAGCTTCATGACGACGAACCCAGCTTCTTCTTACTCTAGGTCCTCGAAGTTGTCCATTTATTGTTTCAGCCGCATTAAAATTTTTTTCGCGAAATTGTGTTTCAGTGGTTATTGGACCAGCGCCCTAAAACAACCCTTTAAGTTCTCCCCAATACCAGAAGTCCATTGGATTGAGGTCAGGAGATCTTGCTGGCCATTTTCGAGGATCAGGAGCATTTCGACCGATCCAGCGATTTGGATAATGTTCATTCAGTTATTGAATGACGCCTATAAAAATGTGTGGTGGTGCCCCGTCACGAAGAAACCACAAATTCTGTCTCCGTTGTAATGGCGTGTTGTCTAAGGTCTGTTCTGGTAGGTTATTGGCTAGAAAGCTAAAGTATCCCTCTCCTGACAACTTTGGGGGTAACTCGAAAGGGCCAATTACCTGATCGTCAAGAATACCCTACCAAATATTTATTTAAAAACGTTGTTGGAAATGACCTGCACGAATGGTATGAGGATTTTCTTGAGCCCACGTGTGAGTATCCGACGCTAGAATGTTTTTAAAAAAATCCGGATTTTCAATGTTTTTGTGCAAAAACCACTGACAGAATGTTAGTCTGCGAGGATAGTCTTCTGGTAGAAAGGCCTGCACTCGTTGTACATGGTAGGGATAAAGCAAATTTTCCCGTAGAATTCTATGGAATATGGTATGCGATAGACCTACGCTGCGGCCTAATTCCCGAGTGCTGATATCTGCATTGATTACCAAGATATTTAAAATTTGTTCCTCCGGCTCTACATTAACCTGTCTTTCAAGAGTGCCAATATTAGTGGGCTGAATACTTCCTGTATCTCCAAGTCTTTGGTACACTTGCAAAAATGTACTTCTGTCTGGGTGTACCCGTTGGCGAAATCTGTCGCGATACATTTGAGCTGCAAGATTTGAATTTTGACGAGCTTCACCGTAAACTAACAACATGTCGGCGAAATCTTGATTTCAGAACGTTGTGAATAAACACGACTACGTACGCGAATAAAAACAAAACAACACGCCGGATGCTCTGCTCGACAAAACGATAAAGTAATTTATCTATGCAAAACGATAACTAACCACTGATACTGTTTGCGATCGATTGCCGGTTCGATAAGAGTGATGAAAGAACGATTGCGCTGTTATCATGTGTGTTTTAAATATTTAATTTACTGAAACTTACTTACTGACTACAAATTTTGGCTTAACTTAGAAAAACTTAATGCCATTTATTTGTTAATTTTCCAATTTAAAAACGTTTTAGATTAGATTATAAAAATTAGTACAATAGATTGTGGTCGATATAAAGCACTTAAAGTTGTAAACCGTACAGCCATTTAGACAAAAATCTATTGACTTTTGGACCGTGGGTCATATGAACTTTTTGACTTGTTTTGACTCCCCCTATTACCCATTTCAATAATGACTACCATAACGTTTACGCCCTGTATAAAATACATGTTAAAAAGGTTTCCCAAATCGCAAGTTCCTGCTACTAATCCCATTAGACTCTCAGACAACGAAATAGTGTCTGATGCTAGAATAGTAGGCAAGTGCGCTGACATGAAGCAAATCAATTTAGGTCAGAACTAGTTTCACATATAAGATTCATGCAGCTTCCTTCAGTGAGCCGCTCAGCTAAATCTTTAATGTTGTACCGACTATAATGTTTATCTTTCGGCGATAATGTCATCTAAGCATGACATTTACGCCAGGCGAAAATGTGTCGCATTCTTGGGAGAAATTTCTAACTCGATTGTCTTTATAATCGTGTTTCTTGGGGTGACTCTTAGATTTTGTTTTGAATACCGCTCCGGCGCTAATCGGATCACTCTGAGCAAAACAACTTTTGCCTTGCGTTGACCATTTCGAGCTGTTATGGGAGAAAAATTCTAACAGTGACTATCGACATTAGTTGAAAACCCATTTAAAATGGAGAAGTTTCGTGATATTTAGAATCGCATAAGTGATGACATACCAGCAAAACGTGGACTAAATATAATCAGCCAGTGAAAAAAATTTTGAAATCGGCCAATAAATGACAGAGAAATTGATACTTAAATTTGGAGCATTACAGCGCGAAATCATTGCTGCCGTTCGTTCGCGTCTGACGTCACACTTTTCTAGTGCCCAGCATCTCGTCGCGTAGGTGTTCGACAGCGTCTGTGCGTTTAGTAATTAGTCTATAGACAATTCATAAGACACACCTGTGCGCTCAGACACGTGGTTTCCAGTTGAGAACTATTGAGTATTGCGTAAGTTTATACCATTATGGACGCCGCATGTGGAGGTACGTAGGAAAAATGTTTATTGGGGATTGTAATTGTTGTGCTCGTATATTTTGGAACGGTACAGTATTTATAATAACCTTTTTTTCTTATTTCACTCATAACCGATCGTATATGCAGTCAACTAATTAAACAAATTAGGGCGGAAGACGCTTAGCCTACCATATGTCCCGCTGTATGTGTGCCTATGCATGTGTTTAGGAGATTGAGTCGGCTCGGGCCCCGGAATCGGCCGCGGGCGTTGCAACTGGATAGTGAAGTGTGACGTCACGCGAACCGTACAGACGAAATAAAAATAGTCTCGCAGGGCCCAACTTTGATAGGCTGTAACTGTTTTGTTTTTAGAGATAAATTAATATTTTTTTCAGCACCTTGTTTCATTTTTACTTAGCTTTCATTTTAACTAACAAGAAAAAAATGTTAAACTTGTCCATTGGTGCTTGGGAGAGTGTTTTAGACTCAGTTTATTTTAAAGCAGTATTATTTAATTGTTAATAACGGGCACTGGGCAGCGCGGGCGCTCAGCTAGTATGCGGAAATGACATAATAAATCCATGCCGACTAATTCTAAATTTCGAATATTATATTAACTTAAACTGTATCTTCTGGTAAGAGATTCAAACACGGCATTTAGAAGCAGCGAAAATCTTGCATTTGCGGTAGAAATTTTACTCAAACTTCTTCATACTCATATTTATTGGATGTTCTGTAACATGAGTGAAGATGTTGCCGGTCAACAATCAGTGGCGAATCTGAACAAATAAAAAATAGTAAAGACGGTTCGTTTGCTCGGTACTAAGTTTATTTTGGGTCTTCTGGATTATTCTAAATAAAAGTTAAGATTGCTATTGAAAATTATCGCTATCGAGGATGCCAAGTATCTAAATAAAATCCAAACCTATTCTTTCGCTCAAAGAGTATTTTGAGCTTAGTTTTCTTCAAACCATTGTCATTTAACTGATCATAACGGGCTGTGAGCCAAGCGCGCACCCCTCTAGCATACAAAGTCTAATTTATTACTCTTGTACTAATGTATAACAACACTTGCAACTAATTTATTACAAATTTATAACGACGTGGACTGGACTATCGCGTCGCGTGCTGTTGACTATCGACTGTCCCTCTGGTGGAGGCAGCTGCATATACATGGTGACTTCGAAGTTGAGTCATTTATTTTAACAGTGAGTAGATCTGATCAAAAGAAATGTTTTTTTCCTTTACAATTTTTCTGGTAAAATTAAAGTAACAAAGTTATAGCCCTTTGGAAGTTTGAGTACCGCCCTGTCTCAATAATAATATTATGTGCTCGTGTTTGGCAACAACAGATATAATCCGCCTTATCCGTTCATCGCATCGGAAACAAAAAAGCGAAAGAATTTGGAACGATGTTTTTACAATTATTTTCTTCAGTTGTATACAGTCAGTGTCAGTCAGTAGTCGGTAACGCGTAAGTGAATAGTCGTGTCTGTTGCGTGGCTAAAATCAAAAATGGCACATGTTTACGAAAATGCTGAACTTGTGGACATGGTTCTTATTTACGGGGAGTCTTTACAAAATGCTGCCGCGGCATCACGGATCTATGCGGATCGGTTTCCCAATCGAGTGCAACCAACCCCTCGTGCCTTTGTTAATGTAGTGCAAAGAGCTCGTGAATCAGGTGACTTAAGACCTCACAGAGGAGAACATGCCGGTGCTCCAAGACCGCATGATCAAATAGAACTAGAAGAACAAATGTTAGAATTAGTAAGTGATGATCCAACAGTAAGCACCCGACAAATTTCAACTCAATTGGCGATTAGTCAATATAAAACTTGGAAAACTCTACGTGAAAATCAGTTCTATCCATTTCACATACAAAAAGTGCAGGCCTTACAACCGGAAGATCATGGACAAAGGGTTGACTTTTGCAATTGGCTTTTAAATAAACATCAAAATGATGACAATTTTTTAAATCAAATTTTAGTGAGTGATGAAACCCTCTTTACTAGAAACGAAATTATTAATTCAATTAATTCTCACGTTTGGGCTATTGAAAATCCCCATGAAATAAGGGAAACCAATTTTCAACAGCGATTTGAACCAATCAACCTGTGGGCGGGAATTGTTAATGGAATTTTAGTGGGCCTTTTGAATTACCAAATCGCTTAACTGGTGAAAATTATCTTGATTTCTTGCAACACAATTTGCCTGGTTTACTGGAAGATGTGCCTTTAAATATTAGACAAAACATGTGGTTTTTA